GAAAAGTAACAATTATTATTTTAAAGAATAATTTCAAAAGAAATTACTAGCTTATGTTACTGTAAATAACTCCTTAGTACACAACTGAAATTATTATTGCCATTAGAAAATGTATGAAGCGGTCTTTCAAAATATAATAATTCAATTTGTATATTGAATATACGTTCTTATTGAACACGTAAATCAAAGTATACTTTGTCCTGTTTATCTATATCCCCAAATAAGTTACATCAATATACAATACATAATTATCAAGATACATTTGTGTGAAGTACATAACTGAATTTTAAATAACAAGAAACGTTCTGATGTTTTCTTGTCTGTAACAATGTAACTGTAATCCACTTGATTTAGAACGTGCCGCAGTCAGAAGAGTAAGGATTAAAAACTGAAGAGGCTGCTTCAATAAGAAAATAGCTCCGCTTCTGAGTATTTTCAACAAACCAGTAAAAAGCAAGAATTGGTGCCTCAAATCTATAGTCAACTAACATTCCTGTTGACACATTTTTACACTGAATACGAAAACTGCATAAATACAAATTACAACAAACATAGCGTAATAATACCAATAACGACTGGTAACTAAACTTTGGATCTCTATGCATTCACGATATGAGTCGTTTATTTTGAAAGTGGCATAAGTCACTTTGTTTTTAAGTTGAGATATTTAAGGGTTTGCGTTTTAACACATTTAAAAATATGGATGCTAACTTTCGAGAAGATTTACTTGTATTTGTTATCTCAGGATACTGATATTTTCCTCAGTATAAATAATGTCGTATAAACATTAAAAAGTCACCACTTTACATTACGGTAAAGTGACTTAAGCCACTTTCAAAATAAATAGTTTAGAAAAATGACTGACATATATTAATTTTGCCCGACGTATTTTACTGGAGTGATGTTTTGAAAGGACAGTGATTTACTAAAATTGTTGAATAAATTATGTATATAATAATAATTTATACCATGAACATATTTAATATAAAGGTTTGATTTAAGTATTTTTTATTTTAATATTCATAAAATACAAAAATAATTAGTACATTTTGAAACATAAGTATAAGTAATTTATATGAAAATACATCGGTTCAATTTAATTTTCGTCATCAATAGGAGTGATTAAATCCTCGGAAATCGTCTTTTGTTTCAAATTTTTTAAATAACTGTGGTATATTGGGGGTATATAATTAAGCAAGTCCATCATGTCTTTGTATTTTGCTGAAGAAACAGGACGAGATCCAGCGTATAACGGATCCATTTCTATTTGTGAATAACGCCTTGGTGACAAATCCAAAGTTAGAAATTCATCTTTTTCATCTAAAGTTAATTTATAAAACATTTTATAGCCATCTGCTGGCGGGTCTGGAGGTAGTCGCCACATCACTATAATATAATTTACAAAACTGCACTATTCTTTCGCACTTATCAAAATAAGTCCAGTGTGATCACAAGTTTTTTAAAAATACTGAAAATAATTCAAAACAATACTGCACACACACTTTTCACACGTTTCTATTTCTTTTACACTAAGCCCTGCAATTAATTTCCTGAGTGCAGCGACTTACGCCACTTTCAAAATAAACATGTTTGTTATACCGTTAATTAGCAAAACTTCTCTCGAACAAATCTCTATAGTTCTCAACTTATTGATTGCAAATTTTTAAAAAATGAAAAGATACCGTTCAATTGTAATTAGTGTTACCATTAACTCGATTTTTTTGAAAAAGTGACTTATGCCACTTTCAAAATAAACGGCTCATATGTGCTAGTTTGCCAAATGCAAGAAAACGTGCATATTGAGAAAAGTTATCTGTATTATTATTTTGCGTTCATCTTTCCCTTCTTTAGATATTTTGGAAACGGTTAATGAAAATGAGAATTCGCATAAAGATCCGCAATCTACGAACAACAAATTAGAATGCATACCAGCTAAAGCCTTGATTCGTGAACGTTCGAAGAGTCTCGAGCTCGAGTTTCCTCCGTCGTATTCGTACTCATCGACAATCTCTTGTTGTAGCGTGGGGTCCCAACCTCCGCGCACTACCGAGATGTCGGTCGTCATTTTGTCAATCGGACCAACAACTCACTTCTGTCTTACCCTTCGTAAGGGCGCTCCTGAAACAAAGCAGAATAAAATATTAATTTCAGAAATCAAGTAATCAAGAAGCGGTCTCCGCGAGCACAGCGAATAGAAAATATGGAAAATTCACGATTGCTTTCTCTTGTTTTTTTTTTTTTAAATCTCAGAGAATTATCACTTGTACATTCCACAAAAATAAAAAAAATCGACCCCCAAACCAAATGTAGAAATTAAGCTACAGTATGCATACACTTATAAAAAACTTTTCAGCACAAAGTTACACTGTTCGCTGGGGCATATGTAATGATAAGACAGAAATTTGTTTTCAGAATAATTTTCTTAATTTGTTTACTAGGTCATCGATGTTTTACAAATGGGGAATACTATTCAAGAGTGGTACTATACAAGGTCATTCAAAGTCACCAAAGACTCTAAAATCGCAGAAACACTTTATTATCGCTGGATTGATTTAATTAAATGCTACAATTCAGCGGAACACCTGGCAGGTGGTAAGGCCTCCTTTAATTCCTGTGCTGTTGTGTTTCAAAAATACAAACGGAATATCGGTTGTTAGTATCAGTTGATCTCTCTTTCAACCCTCTTAGCTCACCCAACTCTCCAAATTCACTCAACTCCCTCAACTCTTTCAACTCTCCCAACTCAACAATTTTCTAAACATATGTTGCCAGGCTAAGCAAGAATCCCCCGCCCCATGTTCCAGGGTCCACAATCATCTACCTACTGAAATTGGAGTAATGGTGGCGATACGTAGCAGCACTAGAGAGACCAAGATTCTCGGGTAGGAATGAGGGTCGATGGTGGGCGTGCGACGTCCGGGGAGCCCCACGCGCCATCAATTCCCCGGCAACACTGTTCTCAACTCTCAACACTTCCAACTTTCTCAACTCTTCAACACTTTCATCTTCTTCAACTCCCTCATCTTCTTCAACTCTCTCAACTCGACCAATTCTACCAACTATCTCAACTCTCAACACTTCCAACTTTCTCAACTCTCTCAACTCTTCAACACTTTCATCTTCTTCAACTCCCTCATCTTCTTCAACTCTCTCAACTCGACCAATTCTACCAACTATCTCAACTCGACCAATTCTACCAACTATCTCAACTCTCAACACTTCCAACTTTCTCAACTCTCTCAACTCTTCAACACTTTCATCTTCTTCAACTCCCTCATCTTCTTCAACTCTCTCAACTCGACCAATTCTACCAACTATCTCAACTCGACCAATTCTACCAACTATCTCAACTCTCAACACTTCCAACTTTCTCAACTCTCTCAACTCTTCAAAATTCTTATCTTCTTCAACACTCTCATCTTCTTCAACTCTCTCAACTCGACCAATTCTACCAACTATCTCAACTCATTCAACCCTCTTAACTCTACGAACTCTCTCACGTCTCTCAACCCTCCAACTCTCTCAAGTCTCCCAACTCTCTGAACTCATTCAACTCAAATCTTTATTAAATCTCATTAATAAAATGACCCTGGAAAAAGTTCTGTTTTATCATTAGATGTGACCCACAGAACAGTGTAATTTTGTCCTGAAAAGTTTTCTCCTAGGAGCACACGCAATGGAGATATTTAAGATGGACAAAGTTTCTTCCCCACCCCGCATAAACACGCGATAGAGTGTATAACAGTTAGAGATCACATATATAAGGAACATAATATTGTATATCAATCAATATTGGAATATTATTTTTTCATTTTTGTAATTTATAATATACTATATTTTATGTTAACACGTGTTAAGTGCTATAAAAAAAGACCTAAATTATTAACCGTGCATTAATCATGCAAGCGTAGAAAATACTAGGATCATTAAAGTAACTGCTTCTGCAATCGTTCTGTAACAAAATTTGACTTACTTAACTTAATAGATCGTAATGAAAATTACAGTAGAGCCTCGATTATCCGAATCTCCGATATCCGAATTCTTTATTATGCATCACTATTCACTGTACACGTCGGTAAATCTTTGGTCTAGCATTGTAACCAAGGAATTGTTTCTACTATCCGAACACTCGTGTTTCCTTGATCAATTCGGATAATCGAGGCTTCACTGCGATTTTCGAAGTTTGATAAAAAAGAAAGAAAATTGTGTCGGTCACATACGGTCGACGTGGCTCCCAACGTATTAAAAGAAATTTTTCTCATCGAAACTATAATAAACTCAAGACTTTCGCGTAATAGCCGAGTCTTTCCGGAGTTAATATGAGCGGCCAATCTATTTGTTTGCAAATGAACTCGTGATTTAAAATTTTATACGATTATCAAGGCGTTCCAGAGGGAAACACTGTGTGAACATAAATAAGCTCGTCTATTCTGTTCACATAACAATTATATTCATATCCTTCCCGCAGAATTGTATTAAAATTAAAACCGCATGCTGCTATGATTGGCTTGTGAATTTTCAGAATCAACATACGCATTGTGGAATAGCAATTGTGGATATGCAGTTTATGGAAACGTTACGGATTTCATATAATATCGGTTTTATAGAACTGAAACCGAGATCGACATAAATCAGAAACGGTTTTACTCGTAACTGTTTCGGTCAGAACTTTTTATATTTATAACCGTTAAGAACACTTTCCCCAGGAAATATTTCAATATCTAATATCACAATATAATAAATAATAATGTAATAATAATAATATAATAATAATAATATAATAAATAACACCAATGAGTGACCAATGAGAGATGGAGTGGGGCCCGCGCTCCGCCCTTGCGGACAACGCCGTGTCGCGTCGGCCATTTAGCGCAGCGACAGTGGTCGCGAGGGCGGGGCGTTAGCCGTACGCCTTCTCTCATTGGTCACTGTATTTTCGTTAATAACTCGTAAACGAAGCCGCGGATTGCATTTTCGCTAAGGAAAAAGTTACTTCAAATGACCTCAGGAACCCCTAATTTCCCGGAAGTAACATAATTTTGGGACTCCCTGTATATATATTTATATAAATATAGTATTATATTTAATAATATAATTATTAATTATATTATAATTATATTATATATATATATATTATAATATTATTATAATAATAATATAATATTTAGTAATATATTTATATAATTATAGTATATATAAATACTAACCAGTATTTTTATACAAATATATTATATATATTTTGACAATTGGAGATTATAAAAATGTGCCGCGAATGGAGAGAATCTACTGTATATCCATTGCAATCCAATTGCCGAAAGAGGAGCGCCAGCTTTCTATCGTCATAAACGTAAAAACTGAGCTTTAGAAAACAGATAATATTTTCCAACAAGTCCAACAAATATAGACAGGCACGAGAACCGTCGATTCGATCCGACAACGCCTTATAAAGGGGGAACTCGGCGGCGCCGTACAAACGAGTGCATTTCACCGGCAGCGTGGAAACGCGCGATAGATATCTTCGTACCTAAAAGCGGAAACCCTGCGCTCGTTACGTTCGGTGAATCGGATTTTTTTTATTTGCAGCACAGCTCTAGTGACCGGTCGCTCAGCTCGAACAACCTTCGGCAAGATAAGAAGTGCACGGCAATCTTATCTGTGGTCTCCTTGTATGCTCTGTGTATCTTACGCCAAGTGATGAGATAACGGTAGCGATCGAGCCAGCGATTTCTTCTATTTCCAATTAAGCAGGATCGACGCTAAAACGAAAGTATACGTGGTAACGATTCCATAATACGGGCACACGAACGCGTAACGAACACGGCTCGTGCTTTCGTAGTAATGATAATCGCGTGTCTAATTTGCGGAACAGCTAGCAAAAATTTTCGTTTTCGTGCGGCTGGACCATTTGCATTTTATTTCGCTGAACTACTAGGTCGTTGTATAATTTCGTTCTTTTTTGGATTGTTATTCTAACATTTTACGGTGGAGCTAAATTCGAAGAACAACTCTTATTGATCACTTCGTTTGTTACTTGATTAATGTGTTTTTATTAATTTATTTAATGATTAATATTATTTATTTAATAATTAATAATTTATTTTTATTAATGTATTTTTCTACTCGAGACGTGACAGGAATTATACAACGACCTAATTGTTCGCCGCGAGCGAAAAGGAAATTATGACGATCATGATGCTTGAAATTGTGATTTAGGATTCACAGTTGCTATACTTGTTTCTCTTCTCGGTAGCATGAAGCGCTTAGGCAATCTTTTCTACGAAGAAAAATTGATATTGAATGTCACCGAGTTCGTATGCTTTTTGCACACACTTTTAACGATCATTTTAACACGACAAAATACTGATTAACATATTTCAAGGCTCCCTTAGTTCCAATGTGTTTTTTCAATTATTACGAACAGAAGATACGTGGATGGACTTTACCGAAGGAAAATGATAAAACACACCGAAAATGATCGGATTCTCATGAAATAATGATTAAAATGCGATCGCTCCTTCAACTTTTTTCTGTAATTTTGGAATTAAACTTCGCGCGTTAGCGCAAAAATCAGTTTTTAAATCTGGGCAAATAGATGATTCCGTCATCCGCATAAGAGCATGACGACAGTCGAAGTGTTAAATAGCATTGCACGCGAATTGGAGGTATTCAATGGGAACCATAAATTGAACAAATAGTACGACAAGGTATGAATTTTAGCAATGGTAATAAAAATATTCACTCCGACAAAATTATTCTTGAAACTATGGTGTCTCAGACAATAGTATATTTAAACAAAACCACTGAGAGTGTGTTTGAGGCTAGTAATCCTTCTTTGCTTTGTATTAGTTCGTTCATTTGATAAAGCAGACTTTTACATTATTTTCTTCATTTCAGGTCCACACACGTCCAGGTAACTCGAGCCGAAATCACGGCAAAATATTGTCAGTCTCGAATATCGATTTCTTCAGGCTATCAATCTAAAATCGATATGTTGTAATTAGAAAAGATTTTGCAATAATCTCGTTGCTATGAAGTACGACATTATCTTTTGTTATTCTACTTACATAGCTTTCAATTTCTTTTCTAATACACTCGATGGAATCGATATTTTTCGTCGA